CTATTATTACTAATAATTGCAATTAATTTTGCATTCGCATTAATATCTTCCTATACAAACTATGATTAAAATTTTTAAAAACAAGCACAAAAATGTTTTTCTCATTAACTGATGGAAAACAATAGAGTTTGTGGTAAAATTAGCTTTAAAAAATTAATCTACATAAGAAAGTTAATGATTTTAACAGTTTAAGACAAAAGGGATCATCAATACGTTGTTTGAAAAATCACGAAAGATTAACGTTACAATATGGAAATATTGATTGACCAACAACATTTGGAATCATCGGCTCTCAAACAGTAATATAAATATCACTGCTAAAAAACAGTCCACAATTTTTGTCTCCATTTATATCAAGTCTGATCAAACTTTTTATTAAGTTAAAGAAAGGACTGAAATTTGAGAAACAAAATAATCTTCTACAAATTGATAATTTCAAATTACTTTCTAAAACACTGCTTGAGCATTTTATATTAAAAAATGTTGTAATTTTTTGAGTCACGAAAGCATATTTTCAAACTATCAATTAGTTTAGCTTAACAATTACTATAATTCACAAACTTATTAATATTTGAGATATTAAGATGTTAATACAACAACAGGATTTCAGTTGTATGATTATAAAAATAACGCTATTTTCGCTAAAATACAAATGGTTACGATTTATAACTTTTGTAATTTAAATTTTGCACCTCAAACAAAAAGTGATATGTTCATAATTTCCCAAATCAGAAGGGTTTGTCTACAATAATTTATCTTCTATTGAAATATAAAATTTAAATTCATCCATTACAGCATTTCAATACTTATTTTCTTTTCAACAATGCTATCAAAATAACGCTGCTGTACTAATTGTTAATTGTATGCTTTAGTTAAAAAAAAAGTAGCTAACATTTGAAAATTCTGTCATGTTATTAGTGGTTCATAATTATTTTAGAACTGAAATGTTGGAAAGACTCAAAGTACAGTTGATTTGTGGCCATTATTTAATGCAAAGATAATATTTTTAAAATAATTTTTTTGATTTTGTTTGAAAAGTGTAAACGCAGTAACTAATTAATTACTACGTACATATGTGTAAAAGCGGAACAAACTTTTTTTGTAGCAATTTTGGGTGTATATAAATATGACTGATAAATATGAATACAACACTTTCAATACAGTTCCTTTTCTTATCTTAGTTTAAGAAGTAACGAAAATAAATACAAAAATTAACCATTTTCCAGTAAGATGCCAGATAGTCTGTAATTTGTTTGTTAAAATTTTAGGTCACTTAACGTTTATTCAAATCCCCCAATCAAACCAATTATTGAAAATTTTAAACATTACTTACAAATTGAACTTAATGAATGATTGATAATTCGTTTAATTGCTATGACCTTTATTACGACTCTTTAAAAATAAATCGTTAACTTGTACTGACCTAGCACAATCATATGCAAATTCTGATATTCGTGTAATGTAAATGTAAAATAAAAAAATGCATGCAATTTTAACAGAAATGCTTAATTATTTGGTTTTTATTTTTTCGTGTCATTAGCATAATATGAGAAGATAAAAGAACTGAAAATTAATTGTGTTCTATAAACATATATTCTACTATTATTATTTACTTACTATTAAAAACATAAATTTCAGAATGTACAAAGGTGGGTTTTTCTGTACAATAACAGTTGCAGTTATCACACAATGCCTAGCATTCACGAGTATGCGTTTTATTCATTTGAAAAATTAAAATAATAACAAAAATTAGTTACATAAATTTGTGTTATATATTTAGTAATAAAATGATCATATTTAAAATTTTATTTCATTATACATGCATTTTATGTGCTATATATATATATATATATATTTTACGTATGCAAGTAAATTGCATGTAAAATTTTACAGGTTCATTGAATGGCATTAATTGGTTACCATATTCAGTAGCGTTGTCTGCCGCAAAATCACAAAATAAACCAATATTTGTATTGGTATATAACGATTACTGCACGCAGTATGAAAGTAAGTATAAAAATGACCTTATAGATTGATAGTTTCGTTTTACAATTCAGTGTTATTTTTTCAATGAATTTTAATTTTAGAATTGAAAAACGAAATTGAAAAATCCCCATATCTCCAGGAATTCCAGGAATTAAGTAATAAGTTTGTCATGACCAATGTTGCTGATAAAGAAATCAGAGAGCCTGATGATAAAGAATTTACACCAGACGGTCATTACAAGCCACGAATTGTCTTCCTAAGTAAGTTTCTTATTATGGCATATTTATTTTTATGATAAAAGTTAACAATCTCATGCTTTAATTAGCATAGAATAAAATAGGAGATGCGAAAAATTTTTAATCTCCTTGTCTGCATGCTTTAGAAATGCTATATTTTCATTTTTTGATGAATTTTATTGCGATGCATGTTGTCAAATGGTAATTATAATAGTGTGCATATAAATTTCAGATAAAAACGGTAGAAGAATTAGCACTGTTACAAACAGCCGCTTCAAGAAATATTTACATTTCTATGACCGACTTGATGATATCGTCAGAGATATGAAAAAAATATTATTATATCATAACTATTAAACTTTTTAACATGTCCCAAGTTTATGATTTTCGCACTCAATATCTCAAAACCTTTGTTTTCCTATTTTTTCAGCACTACCACACCGTTTATTTAGACTTTCAAATCAGCATCTGTGTCAATGTTGCAATAAAATGGAAATACAAAAATTTGGACTTCGCAAATTTACATTAAAGGAACAAATCTTGCAACGCGAACTATGCTTATGAATAGATGTAGCTTGCAATAAACCTTCACCTCAAAAACTTTGCACCCTATGAAATCGAAAAATCAATAGGTTTCCGAAATGAAATCTAACCAGATAAATTTTTTACAGCACAGTACCATACATCCATTAGTTATGTTATAATGTGAAATGCTTGAGGTTAATAACACATCAAAGATATTACAGAAATTCTAAATTCAGAAGGAAAAATCCAGACTTTCCCAAACTCAAGTAGAAATTTTTTTGCCTATAATATTTGCATTATATAAATAAAAAATCACTGGGATTGATTTGGCGCACATATTCACTGTGGAAACGTTTTTAAGCAAATTCATCATGAGTTTCATTGAAAATGATAAGGTGAACAGAGCCTACAATAAAGTATAAGGTGCATAAAATCTGAAATACACAGATACTAAAAAAAATTGTTAGAATATGGAAAGAAAATACGCAAAAATTTGAAAGATCAAAAAAGCATTTAGCATAAAGTGAGGACAGATATGAATAAAGATCTCAACTTCGGTGAAATAAGTAGTACACTGGAGTTACTTTCCGCATGCAAATTTGAAGGAATAATGGGCTGCAAAATAAAATGCTTTGGAATACGCAAGACTATGCTGTATGAAGTGGAGGAATAATCATAACAAAATGTAAGTAAAAAACAGTATTAACACTTCTCAGAATTAAAAAAACGTCAATAAATTACAGTTAAATAACGAAAACTTATTAGACAAAGTCATGAAAAAAACTGAATGTCAGATGTAACTTTCTGTCTTAAAAGAAATCAAATCTACAATGTAACTTTCTGTGCATTCGTTTAATATACAAATGATTCTGTATTTATACCTTAGAAATAAACAATACAGAGATAATATTTGATTGACAGTGGTAAAAAATTGCGCTTACTAGTACGATACTCATCAAAAATATATAGATGAAAAAAATTCAATTCAAATCATAGGGCATTTGTTTACAACATCATAGAAATACTAATACCGTGCTACATAAAATACCTTACTTATGTGAACTAAAGCAAACATATGCTACCAAATTTAATACAGTGAAAAATATAATATAAAAAATTATATGAAGCAGATATTACTTGTAAAAAATCATGGATATGAAATTACGAAAATTAAAATCAAACAAACATGAATGCAATAAATTTGCAAAACCATAAACACTCATTCCTTCCTCCAATTTTCTGCAAATTCAGACCCTTCACATTGTGAAGTCTCGTGAAACCATTTCTCAATATCTACGTATGATTTTGGCGGTCGATTTTCTAATAAAGCTTCACACAATTTGCAAAAATGAAATCTAAAAAAATCAAAAATGGCGAAGATTATTTTAAATGATTTGGCTTTCTTTACTTGTTTCATAGTTTGAAAAAGCATAAAATGGTTTTTCAAGTTTAATTCATCAAAATCTTCTACAAAAATACTAGATATGGAATATAAGTGGAAAACAGACCTGTAGCCCTTATTCTGATACGCTAGAACCCAACCGTCACGACGCCATTTGAAATATTCCAGATAAGCTGTTTTATTTGACATCAACGACAACAAGTAATCAGCCATAAATTTAGCACTTTCAAAGTCATCCATTGATATATAAGAATGTGGTGGTACTAAGCTATATGTAAGCAAACGTTCAACTTGTTTAAAAGAACTTGAACCACAGAATTTCTATTAAAAGAAGCAGAATAAGATTACTGAAGTTTTCTAAATATCCAAACCAAAATTATGATTTTATAACCTAACCAAAGTTTGATTTTTATTTCGTACCTCAACAAAGTGCAAAAATTTTTCAATATGCAAATGATATAAAAAATATCTAACAAGTTTTGGAGGTTAGAGCTAATCAATATTCAAAGAAACAAGTGAAACTCACTTCTCATATATTTTTCGCCTCATAACAATTGGAACACTTGGCAATTGGTATCGAGAGAAATACTTTTCGGTAATATAATCCTTGCAAACCGCATTTTCGATTGCGATATAAAAAAAATTCGCTGAACTCAAAGCTTTCTCGCAAACGCTGTGTCTGCCACATGCTTTACGTTTATGAGGATTTTCAGCACAAGCTCCATATTTGTCAATCGTTATGTATCTAAATTTTAGCTTTTTAGAACACTGGCAACTAAAATATTTTCTATTTAAAAAATAAACTATGAACAGATTTCCTAACCAAATTATGATTTTCAATCCGTAAATCAACAAAGTGCAAAAATTTCTGAATATGCAAATGATATATAAAAGCTCCCGGACATGAATTAATGATACACTACAGGAACGAAATTTTATGCTAATTGAATGAATTCTTTCAATAAACATAGAAGGCAGTAAAATCTTCTAAATATTAAGGCAGCAGACTTACTTTGCTAGCTTTTCAACTGCTAACTCACGTTTCGAAGACGTATTGCAATTTGACACTAACCAAAATATTGCTCCGTTTTTTTTTTCTAATATACTTTTTTCATCATAAGGTAAGTTTTCTGATTGTAAATTAAGCTCTTTATTATTTTCTGGACTGATCCAGTAACCCCCATAAACCCAGGGAACATCCGAATCATATCGATAGGTCATTGTCCAGTTGAAAAAATTATCTGAAGCATAAATTATACCAGTAACTGCTGCAACATTCAAACAACGTAACCAATCTCAATTTTCAACTCCACTTGAATAGTGAATCATACACTGAAATTACTGAAATTTGTTTTGCTTTAAAGACAATAAATATGCATAGCACAAACGTGGTGCATGCAGAGAATTTCTTTGCACGGTTCTATACGATGGAGGAGCTTCCACTGTAAGAAAAACATAACGCTGAAACGGAAATCGTATTTTCGGTAGATCATCTAGTTGGAAATCACCGTCCATAAAATGAAAAATGATAGCATCTGCACTGTTAACCAAAGACCGATCAGCTGTTACCAAACATTTGCTCTAAACTGAATGAACTTATTTACTCAACTCACTTACTTGGGTTCATTGTTAGATTTTGTTGGATGCACTTAAAATAATATCACAAGCAGTAAATATCATATATATTCATCATCTAATCCCACAAAATTAATTATGCATAATGCGCCGTAGTATGCACAATTACTTTCATCTAAAAAACGGTCAGAGAACAGAGAACTCTATTTATTGATGCTCGATAAATATGAGCTAAAAAACCACTAACTTTTAAATCTGGACATGCATCTAAAATATGTAAGCGATTCTCAGGAGATTCGCCAAAAAATGTTGTCCATACTAACATAATTTTCTGTTTCATTTTCAATTGTTGACTGAAATAATAAGTACCCGTGTGACTCGGCGGAAATCCAACAAACTTATTATATGGTCTCCAAGATACTAAATACAAAAGACAGCCTACAGTGAAAGCTACGAATAATCGTGTCCGTAATTGCATCTTCATCATGAAATATATCAGTTGTTTGCCCGTGCCAGTTACAATAGAGCAGCCTATGTGCCAGAAATCCGAACCCATAAGGAAAGAAAACTTATAATACACAACCCCATTATTAACTTATACAAAATACAGCTCCCAGCAACCGTAGTTTTCTCTGAAATACTCAAGTTTTCGATTTGAAGCAGTTACTTAAGCAGTCCAAAAAAAGGTTCCAGCAGTACTCAACTGTACGCATCGCAAACCATAAAAAAACGAAAAATGAAATTCCCGAAAACGAACTTCAATAATTTTAAGCGAGAATATTTTTGCAAAAATATATTCACCACATAAATGTAGAATTTAATGAATACTATTTAGAATGATAAAAACAAAAAACATTAAATTTAGATCAAAAGTTGCAAAAAGTTATGCTCATAGAATAATTTGACAAGTAAACATATTCAACAGCTGCCCATTTTGAAATACTGAATAAAAACTAGGGAAGGAAATCGGTCCCCATTTTATTAAAGAATCGTACATTCAGTCAAGTATAACGTGACAACTTATAGTATTGTAACTTATAATTACATGAAACAGTCAATGAAAAAACCAAATACAAATCTTGCATGTTAGTTATTGGTAAAAGAATATTTCATCTAGCTCAAAATCACAAATTCTATGTAACTAGTACGAAAATGTAAAGTGCAATCACAAAAAATAGGAGGGAATTCCTTCGCTGGGTGGTAACAGTGATAATCAATTATTGCCGGAAATTGCGGAAGACGACCAAAACTTGCATTGATAAACAGTAAATCCATACAATATGTTCATCTCGCTTACAAATATGTTGTATGAAGTTAAAACAAGCCTAACTCTCTCACAAGCCGTTCATTTCGGTTTGTAATTATATACAACGCGAAGTGGAAAAATCAGTTAAAAAGTCATACGAAGCAGCTAAGAATGCCTCATTAGGCTTCGGTACTTCATGAAATCTGGTTCCTCTCGCCTCAAAATTTTGATTTCAGAATTATGATCAGTCCTTTCATTTCGTTGATCATATCTAAAACTGAGATAATCAGATCTTCTAGATAACGAAATATGAAAAGACCAGTACAGTTTTTGAAGAATTCATGTTTATTGTAAAGAAAAAAAAGTCCAAAACAACTATATAAAATAGTTCAATATCTAAACCACACATTTTTTAAGAATAAAACGTAATTTCACTAACAACTGGAATCTTCAAAAAGTAGCATACATTGTAGAAATTATGTGCTTATTTTCTTTAATGAAACCACTTCGTTGTAGCTTTTCGCCTCGGTATCCTAAACCTTTCCTTTTTATGCCAGCTTGAGCAATACCCATTTCATCTAATTCTACCGAAACAGTTTCAAGACGCCCTGAATTCTGCACTCCAAGACCAACACCCGGTGACCAGCCGCATCTAGAATAGTAATGAGTTTCAAAAATTATGAAATTATTTGACGGTGATACTTGAAATGCAGGAAAATAACTTTTTCATAATTTTACTGCCAATTCCACGCGTATAAGTCTCGAATTCTCCGAATCCAATAGCACAAGGTTTTTCAATAACTTCATGTTGTCGTTTCTTAACTTTACTCTTGAACACAGTTTGGTCTATGGAACCAGATCTGTAAAAAGGAAGCATTATTTCATTTTCTGAATAAAGGTAGACCAAAATTTTTTGATTTATTCTATTAATACCAAAAGTATAGTTGTTTGGAGATGAAAGACTGACACAAAATGAATTTCTTTTATGAACAGAGATAGAATTATACAGGAAAGAGCCGTTTAGTTGGACATAATTAGACTCTTAAACCATCGATTGAAAAAAAATTAAAAACTATAAATAGAAGCAAACAATAAAGAATAAGTTATTAAATACACGTTGAAATAGATTAAAAAAACTGCTCCACCGTAGGTTTTTATCCATTATTATTTCGAGGGCCTGCTTTGCATCTAAATCTCCATCTTTTTGATCGTAATAAATCGAATAGTCAACATCCCAATCATCAGCCCACTTCCAATCACTATCTGTCCCCTCCTCTAATTCTTTCCAAAAAAATGCATCTGTGTACCAAACCAGACCAGGCCCTCCTTTTTCCCAAGTAACCTATAAAAATGCTACGAGCTTAACTCGAAGAAACATTACTACCTGCTAAAACCAAGTAAGTTTGGAGGAGACAGATCTTCCAAGATAAACATACCTCTTGCTCCTGTTCATACTTCCTATGCTTAGTACGTTCCTGTTCCGTAACATCGTCATGAAGAGCTTCGTGACTAAAACAAATTTCACTGATCACAGAAATAATGAAAGGAATAACAACTAATGAAAAATCCATAAGACAATATAACAAAATTTGAAGGAATAACACTCAATTGCACAAATTTAATGACAACAATCCCAGTAACATCAGTAATATACTCATATAGAAATAGAAAGTTCTAAAACGTGAAATCTTACCGTTCCCACTCTTCACATTCAACATCATCATTTACACCGCTCCCAGTACCATTTTCAAAATTTTCATCCACTACTATTTTTGGTGCATATGACTGTACTTTTTCGATTGCTACCAAAGACTGATCTTTCTCTACTGAATCTGCAAAAAGATTGAAGAGATCTTAAAAAACTACTATTTAAGATATGCAAACAGTACTCAAACATAATACTTTTCTATCACCACACTTTTTCTTCAAGAAATGAGTAAACAAATAAATCGTACCTTTAACATTTATAGTTTGATTTTCATACTTCATTTCAACAGCTGCATACTTACCAATACGTCTTCTTGACTTGATACCCAGTTTCGTGAAAATACTAGGTGGTAACTTGCATAGGCGAATCTTCAATTAAGCAACCCATAATAGTACTCAAATTTTGGTAGCGATTGAAAAATATTTAAATAGTCCGCACAGATGATATACTGGGAAATATAAAACTCAGAATAGATTATAACTGACAAAAAAGACATAAAATAATACTTCTATATTTATCATTGAAGAAATTTTGAAATTTTTTGTATATCATGCGGATCTTTTCGAAATTTTTAAAACAAAAATACTGACTTGCTCAAGGAAAAATTTTGTAGGAGTTCCCACATTTCCATTTGGCATAAGACTTGGTGGTTTCAGTTCCATAAAATAACGAAAATCTAAATTCGATTTGCTCGTTCCCACTGACGCCTTAAAAAAATTAACAGATAATATAAAATGCAGAACAAAATCACTTGACAGAGAATGAAATAAATGATGTAACTATATAAAACCTTTTTAACTCAAATCATATGTAAAACTTGGTTTGGAACAAGCCTGTTCAAGAAAAAACCGGATAATCTTGAAAAATTTAGCAGTGCTAGGAAATGACTAAAATGCAGCAGAGGTTTCACACATACAGTAAAGTGTGAATAGAAAATCCATCTGCTCAAAATAAATCTCGAAAGTTGATGCTCGAAAATCTAAGTCTTATTTGTCATCAAATTTGATAACAGCATGCCTATTAATAAAAGAGTAACCATATCAAATTTGAGAGGAAAAATAAAGCATTTCAGCGGTATCGGACGCTCTTCGTACATCCAAAAGTTCAAGTGATATTGATTGATAAATGCATCTCTAACTTCATTGTTATCGAAGGAAACAACACAACAAAAGCGTTGACGATCCTTAGACGTTGTTGGTAGATCTGCATAACTAGAAACCTACAACGGCAAGCACATTTAGAACTCACAGTGCTTAATGATTATTTGCACTAAAAGATGTAGAGAAACGCTAGAAAATTACCAACTTCAAGTGCTTACATGTACTTCTGGTCGATGGCGATAATGAAAACAGTGAAATTTTTCATTTTCGATATAGTCAGCGAAGAAGTACCGTAAATGTTTGGCATGATATGCTTTGGGAATGTTGCGAACAATTGCATAGGCTGTAAAAAAAACGTTTAAATTATGAACATCTTTATTAGAGTTAGTTTCACAAAAATTAAGTACACTCTTGTGCTATAAAGTTTATGATTAGAATGCATCTTCCAAGAAAATTCTGTTTTCTTGACTATATCCCAATAACGAAATTTTTTTCACAAACAGGATCAGAAGACTGCAATTATTAATCAATAACACTTTTTAAATATATATTAGTAATCATCAATACTTGTTATTAGTGACAACCTATGAGGATCATCTAATCTGAAAATTTAACAAGACTAATGGTATAATTATTTAGTTAGTATTAGTATGAACCCAGAGTTTCTGCTGTAAATGAAAAGCTTTTGAATTACTGCCTTAACATGGAATAGCAACAATCTTAAATATAAAAGCAAATTCATGAACTTACAGGTAAAATTGCTCGCAAATATGCAAAGCTATACTAACTTAAGAGCTTGGAAGCATTCCAATAACGTCATAATTTAGGCACAACTCACAACTATTCTAATAAACCTTATTTCACACTGGTTTTTAATGCTTGAAGTAAACGCGAACTTCGAAATGAAAACATGTCTAATTAAATTGCAGAAAAAAACGAAGAGTAAAAACCTACTAAAATTTGATGGCGAAGGATTTTTCGTAAGACAAACAGTTTCAAACTTCTTCGTTCCCATTTTTTAGTACTGAAATCAAAAGGAAGAATAATCGCTAACTGCAAGCATGCTTCCCAGGTTCTTTCTGCATCTTCTAAGGTTTTATTAAAATACTCAGATCAGATTTTCGTACGTTTATGTAATAATCTTTGTAGAAAGCACACTTTATACATCAACACCACTTTATCAACAATCAATGGCGTGTAACATCATAGAGTAGAAATATAGGGTGTATTGAAACCACTTATCATTATTTGTCTAAAAATATATGTAACACAAATAATCACCATCCGTGCTCCTTACATCCATAATTATATACAATAATGTTTAGTTCCGTCCATATACTGGATACGATAACCAACTTCCTCATCCATTGACATATTTGTAAAAAAGACACGAGCTCAAATCATCCAGATCATTCGCTCAAGCCATGTGCAAATCTTTCACGAACCCTTAATGAAATTATGACGAATCTGCGTCATTCTGTGCAGAAATGACGAATTGCGACTGATTCCCACCACTTGATCATAAAACCTCCAACAGAATTACTGGTACGAGAGCAAAGCTTGTGTTAAGCATTATCCTCATGTTTCACGCTTGTACCTTATAAACTTCCAACACTACATCATTCGAAGTTAACATCTGAATATCTAGAAATGTGATACAACAAAAAGCTAAAAGAATAAAATTTTCTACAATTCTTTATCATCACACTTTTTTATTACTTGTATAAATAAAGAAGTTTACATTACTTGAGGAAAATACCTGCTCGTATATGATTCAAATACTATAATAATAAACATAAAATGAACGAAAAAAAATCACAATTAAATAATAGCATCCATACATTTATACATGTAGAAATGTACCTATATATTTTAGAGATTCTGATACTGTTTTCAAAAATAATATTAATGCATTGCACAGCGCTATCAGCTCCGAATTTCAACAAAGTATACGTTGAGAAAACTAAGCAGAATACTCCGTCTATATTCTTTTTTCAAATAATGAGAACCAGAGAAAATACATTCTATGTATAATCCAAGATAACAAGGATATTCCGAAAGAAGAACTAGTTTTCCGCACTTTTAGTGTCATTTTTCCCATCTCGCAAATCACTCGAAGAATTTACAACACAAACTTTAGATTCTTCAACTTCTTCCTGCAAAAGTAATGCTCTTGCAAAATATTTTTTAATATTTCCCTCAAATATTAACAGCAACATGCCTTAACCCAACGAAGTATAGGCTATAAAAAATTCAAAGACCAACAGTTTCATCTTTAAATTCGAAAGATTTAGAAAGATTCAAAGCATACTGCTACTGCTGATGATGCCAGCGTCAATAAATGCTGCGCGACAGGTAACTTGTATTCTCTCAGCGAGTGCAAAAATGCATTAATTGAGGAGCCATATTCCATAGGACAACTGGAAAAAAGTGCATCTATTCTTCGAATTGTCGTAAATAAGTTAAAAAGAAACTTTAAACAAGTAAAATAGAGAAAAACTTACCTTAAAGAAAATAAAAGAAATCTATCTAACTGCTGCTTTTCATCTTCACTTCCTTTTTCTGAAAGAAAAGAGCACCATAAAAACACATCACCAGAGTTTTAATCATTTTCCTTCAAAAACATGCGACACATACCTATGCATGAAAATAACCATTCAGCGGCACAAAACCATTTCTTTTCAAAATCTTTAATATGAGATAAAGTACTTTCTGTAGCACAATAGTTCAATAATTCGATAAGCATATCGAAGTTTCTATAGCGATAGAGGTTAGTTGAAAGAATTTCAACCAAAGATGGCTCGACAACTTCATAATCTATCACTACGGCCGTCATAAACAAAGTTAACTAAAAAAACATGATACACCATTGTACTAAAAAAGATCACATTAATGAAAATCAACAGCTAAGACACTCACCAACCAAAAAGTATTTTAAGATCACTTTATCACCGAAAATATCGCAACAATGAACTGGCTTACTTGCGGCGTTTGCCTGCCATGATTCACCAAGTATTTGAGCAAAATATTTTTTTCTGTTGACAGGAAAGTATCAATGGATAAATCAATGTTGTAGGCATCAATCATTCGAGAATATAACACAATTTCCAGTGACGAACTAAATATTTTTGCATCTTCTACATGATTTCAAAACTTTCACGTTGAATTGTTCTTCACTAATCGCTAATATATATTTTAAAAAAGTAGAACTATGTGCATGTTATATGCCTCAACTTTCAGTTTAATTTCAAACGCAAATACTCCGAATACTAATGATATTGGTCCCGATTTTGGAAAAAATTTACCAAACATGGAATAAATCTTTTTTCATAACTTCTTGAATCTCTTCTGTCCGCAATAGACGTAATAAGCAGCAAGCAGCGCGTATCCGTCCTTCAGCAGAACCCTGAACCATTTAATTAAATATAAGATAATGAAATTTGTTTTCCCATTACAAAATAAAATATAACAATCTGACATTTCTGCTGAAGATGTTACAAATGTATAGAATGAAACACAAGGCTCAGATTATACTCAGCACAAATATAAATTTTATCAGGTGCCACTCAACTTTTTTATTTTAATCTCTAGAATTGTTCAGAGAATTACATAATTTTTTACTTCTAGGGCGTTCGTGCATGATTAAACAAAAATTTAAACCTTCGTGAAACTATCCACAAGCATGTCAAAAACTTTTCCAGATGCTCCAAGTCTAGAGAGTCGAACGATTCTAAAAATGCACAAGATATAATTTTGCTGAAATTAAAGTAACGTTTCAGAAACTGCAGTTATAAACACAAATAATAAACTCTACGAAAAAGTGCCGAAAAAACAGCAAAAATTTCTCTAGTAATTTCAGTCAGAAATTTTTGCATACAATTCAAATTCTGAATTACACGTTAGCTATTACCTAGAAACTGAAATATCTCCAAAAGGTAATCTGTAAACATCATAAATACTGTTTCGCTTCGATGGTGTCTTCAACAAATCAGTAAAATTTCCCTGCAAAATCAAGACGTGACCAGAATCACATAATTTTCCTTACAGTCTGAACTATGTAGCTTTTTTGCCTTGGTATCAGATAAAGTATTTAACATAAATATTTAAGCTGCTTATAAACTCACTTTACTAGGATCAAACGCAACTGATATTTGATTATTCAAATCAATCCACTGTTGGATAATTTTGTCTTGTAAAGAACTCAGATCTAGAGCAAGGATCTCAGCCAGCTGAACGATACATGGGAATTTAGCATCTTAAAAAAAATAGGTATATAGTTGATCAACCAGTAGCTTTTTAAAGCATTCATATAATCTGTCCTCATAACTAATAACAATTAATGAAAAAAAAAAACAATCGCGAAAGTAATCAAAATATACCAATGTCATTGCAATTGTTCCAATCAATTTCATGCGCATAAATATGCTCAATTAAAATTTGCGGTGTAGATAACAAATCAAATGTTTCTGCTCGCATGAGTCCATACTTCTTGAGCACATATTTGATATTATACATTTTATAAACTTGTTGCAAGTCTCGAAGAAATTGTTTCAGAAAGTCAGTATCATCCGCTTCATGCTAAAAAAATTACAATTTTAACTCTGAAAATCACATATTTTCGCAATAAAACACATACTTATTCATTTCCATTCTGTAATGTTATACCTCTGCAAGATTATGTTCTGATTCCTCAAGCCATTCCTTAACAACTTCTATTCCTAATGACAAAAATCGCAGCTTTGCTTCACCTAGAAAAGGAAAAATAATGAATCAAACTATCTAAAAAGAAATAAATGATTTAATAGAGAAAAAAACTCACCCAGAGGTATATTCCTAGAACCTTTCGATAAGCCTTTCAGAGTTCGGAGGCGATTAGGCGTTTTTTGAATTAGCAGTTTGATTTGCTGGAAGCTCGACTCATTCAATTCAATGCCTTTAGCAATATATGATTGAATCACTAAAAGGATGACAGTGGACACAAGATCAGATTTTGAAATCTCGATTTCAGGTAAAGCTCGAATGAACATTTGCCATTTCTAAAACTGCTTGAAAGTAAACTGCAACTGTAATTTAGAATGAGCCTGATCAGTGAACAACAATAAATCATTAGATTAAAAGCTGCTGAACCAAAAGATATTTAAATTAAAGAGTCAAGATGAAGCAAAAATTTGAAGGCATAAACAAATTATTGATACTTCGTATTAACTTTTTTGCAATTAAATGCGTTTTAAGTAAATTAGGAGGTATATTTAATGAAAAAACCTAAACTTCACATAAAATAGTAATTTTTACATCGATATTGCAGAGCGTAAGTTCTGCATAAATCATCGGTAGCAAAGTATTTTGCAGATCTTTTTCATTTTCAAACATGAATGGATGAAATGGTAAGCGATGACAGGACTGATTTGGAAGTTCGTTAATCAATAAATTTGTTTCCAATGACGGAAGGAAATCTTTTTTGGATGAATTAAGCGACTTTCCATCACAAATTTTTTCAGCTGAGCCATGATTGCCATTCCGCTATCAAAATTTTAAAATAACTGTACATGGATTGAGATAAAATTTAAATGAACTGAAAATAAAATTTTTGTTTAATAAATGAGAATTTCTCCCAATTAGTGATAATTTTTAAAACTGCATATTAATTATACCTGTTGGAAAAGGAAATTCTGTCGCTCGTGATACCATTTTATTTCATGATTAGTTGGAGGAGTTGTACGTTCAGTACATTCCAAGAATCGGATTGTTGTGAAAGCTCTTCTTAGGATTTCTACTTGATCGATATTTTTTTGATCAACATATCTTTTCATTCCACTGATTATTTCGTTGATAACCAGAAAATTAGGGAGATAAATTTCAACCTCTAACTTTCGAATGAAAATACTTAAGATGCTTTTTGTGTAAGTTAATATAGCGAAAATTTCATCGTATGATCCCCTAAATTTTGAAGACTAGAAAATTTAAACAACTCACTTCATAACTATAAGGACAAAGAGTCATTAAGAAGCCATACAGTCGCATAAATATGTTTTCCTTGGTATCAATTTTCTGCAAATATTATCAAAAAAATCTACAGCTTGTGAAACAAATTAATATCAAAAAATCAAAATACTGAAAGTTGCCAAACAACACAAATAATTACTTGCAATGACGTAGAAATAGCAAAACGCATTTCTTTTACTAATTTATTGTTCTCAGTTGTAGTTGCTTTGAGCGCTAAAGTTGTTGCATACAAGATTAATGCCTCAGTGGCTTCTAGCGAGAAATCTTCACAAAATCTAAAAAACAAAATCCCACCAAAAAAAAAAAAGACAATGAGATAAATCAAACCATGACAGTAGTAGAAAAATTTTAGTATTTTCATCCAACAATTATCAATTATGAATTTTGCAACTAATCAACAAACCGTAACTTCTGTATTATATTATGATCAAGTTCAAGCAATGAGTAATAATCAAGCATAAATCATGAGTAACATACTCTACTAGTACTTCGGGAGAAATAAGACAACGAACAAACTCTTGCACCGCTGCATCCAGATTCTTGTTCTCTGGAAAAATAGCCCCCAATTCACTAAACTTTTTCATCCATTTACATATTTTGTAGTTAGTCTGAAAAAATTAAATTTAAAGAACAAAGAGAAAAGCGCTGAAGTGAAAAAAATCGAATCACTCGTGACAAAAATATAATGAATTGTATTCAAAATCAAATTGAAAAGTATCTATAACTTTCATCAATTTTGAACTTACAAGAAGTTGTGAATACATAAAATGATCGTTAAAAAAGAATGCACGAATCTGAGACAGATAAATGAAGTTGAGCATAGCAATATGTGGTAAGCTTCGTTTGGCATAGCAAGGTTTAACGGACATCAGAATCTAAATAAAAGCAAATTTATATCTAAATACTAATATGCACTCGTCTATTTATGCAAAGTAGACAAAAATAAATAAGCAATTGAAAAAGTGAACGATTTAGAAGCAACAAGAAAAAGATAATGCACATGATAAATAGTTTACTGTGGTCACCATTCGGAAATACTAAGAGGAAAGTTACATTTTTTATATCTGGAATTTGAACAGAAAATATGACTGAAAGACAGAGTTCAAGGTCTGCATCGCTTTGTGCTAACGCTCGCTCAGTGAACAGCGTAATCATTTCACTTATCTCAGAATGTATATTGCTTACGCCTTCTACGATTGTATAGCATGCTTGAAAGAAAAAAGTATAAAAGTAGATTTACATGTAAAAAAATACAACAAACGCATTTTTATGTTAAATAAAAAACTAGAAAAATCAATCTGAAAAACTCACGTAACGATGAAAAAGAAAGCCAGGTAGAAATTGCGAGCATAATTTGATTATTTGAGACAAGGTAAGTAATAAAACTTTTCCATGCTTCACGCATATCTTTATAATATTCGAGAACTTCATTACCACTGCAAATATATATCATTAGTAAGTGTATGCGTGATCGCTGCAAAATAAAAATCCAAAAAAAGGATAACCTTATTTCTATCAAACTGGTTGAATTCAAAAAGTCAAAAACAACGGAACGAGCCACAGTAGCTAACTGTTTTATGGCATCTTTTTTTTCGAAGAATGCACCATCCATATTGTAATGATAAACACCGGAACAGCATCCTATACCACGAAGTATCCACTTTCTGTATTGTGTATAAATTATAGATTTCATATCAAACAATCGATCAAATGTTTTTACATTTTAATATCTAACATAATGTCGTATAATTAATTCTGATAGTCAAAAAAAACTTACTTTTTGGTTTCATCTTCATTCAGTTTTGTAAAATGATCTGGCACACAGAGCGCAATGAGAGATTCAAATAAATTAACAAACAATGCAATCTGAAAACTTATACTATAAGATTTCATAAGTCACTGAATTATAAAACAAATTTTAAAAAAAAATATCATAGCTCTCCCCTTAAATTATAACACAGAGAATAAAATAAACTAAAGCAATAGCTTACATAGAAGACGTGGCTGTTTAGAGATGTTTTTTGGCAAGTTTCTGACACAAGTTCACTCAAAAAATTTGACATATTCTTAAACATGACGGATATCTATAAATATTTTTTATATACAAAATTTGACAGCAATTTTTACTTAATTTAATATGGCAGTTACAAAAAACTAAAATCAAGACTTCAAAAAAATCTTCTCACCAATTTGAAATCAGTATTCTTTACTAATTCAGGCATTTCCCATAATCCATAACCACAGCTTTGCACAATAAGTGTCAGCAACTGCTCGCTTGGTATATCGATATGCTGCATAGCAAACCTATAACACCAATAACAACACAGATTCATAAAAATAAAAATTATTAAATAGCCTAGAAATGACTGAACCAGTAAGAAAATTTGACAAAATTTATTATGAATACGAATTACTTTGCATATTCCAAAGATGCTTCGAGATTTCGACATTTCAAAGCACAGTCCAAAGCTACTTCAAACATCAGATTTTGATGAACCATCAGACTCTTTGAAAATTTCATAAGCTAGAAAATGGTAACGAATAATTTTTAAAAAGGCGTTTGCTGAACCCGTTTCAAAGAATTTTTTAAATAGAGCTTTAAGCTGAAAAAATACCTGAGTTATTTTCGTTGGAAAAGCACCATTGGTAAATGCCTCTTTCATATAATCTCTTAACATTGTAATTTTCCAATAATTATTTCTTAACGACAACTGTTTAATTACTCCAGGTAAAACTGGTGACTTTCGAACATTAGTGAGATCCAATTGCAGTTCATTATCCTGAAACATCCTACAAATATCGTTGACGCAATCAAGGCAAATAAAATCTGGAGCAAACTTTCTTATGGTATTAACAATCAGAATATAATGCTATCTGCAAACAGACAAACATCTCCAATATTTTCTTTTTCAGTACATTTTCATTAAAAAAAAGAACATGAATATTAAAATATTACTTTCTTAAACTGAACTAAAACGAACGAAACAGCGTTTACAGTTCGAAGTCGATTCTCTTTTTCTTGCTAAAAATTAGATAATTTATGTAAGCTCTAAAACCATTAAATGAACAAAGAATATGAAAATAGATAAATAAATAACATTTACTTCAGTTAGAAATGATTCTGAAAAACTCAAAAGTGCATCTACATGCGAGACAAGCTGCGAAATAACAAGATTTTGACTATGCTCACTCAAATTTTTGAGATAACGAACGACTTCCATGAACTGAAATAAAACAAAGATTTGGAGTAAGAATCAGTGAGAATAAAAATACACACATCCGGAATTACCACTTCTAAAAATGAACTAGTATGTAAATTTTATAGAAGTTTCATTACTTCATGATACGCAATAAATGTAAAACAGCAAATAAATATCCAGACTGATATAAAACTAACCGAATTATCATCATTACCGATTTCTGCGTTGATCAAACATAAGCAGAAGAGAAAAACGCATTCATGAGATTCCATCATATTCATTTTCAATTTTTTAGTTAATTCAATTATCTAAAGACAATACAAAGCATATTTTAAGGAGTGATAATCTGTTATCTTCTCTCAGAAATTCTTCGATTCCAACTAAGTTGTATGGATTTGCTCCACATTTAAAAAATGTAAGCGAAATTTTTTTACTCAAACAAAAATTTGAAGATATTACCAGAATTTGCATACAAAAAATTCAAACAAACTTCACTTCAAAAGCAAAGGAGAGTCTGGTTTGAAGACTTCCTAACAATTCTTGTTGTAAAATAAACTCTATAGCTTTTCTGAACATGTATTTAGATATGAAATACTGTTCAAACATCTCAATCGGTATGTGACTTCGTACCAATCTTTCTTTTAATGCAGCTAAATCACATTGGTTTTGTAAACGAGACATCCTTAAAATTAAAATAATTAAGCTCTAGCAATAACTGCATATATCTTATCTGCGTTTCATAAATGGCAGTTTATTTACTTCAATAATTATTGTTTTTATTCCAATAATAACACTCGTGACTACTTTAGCGCAAATTAGGCAAAAATATTGAGTTCATACATATAGTTGTTTTCTTGAATATGAACACGATATGAGCATACACAGGGGACTCAGAATAAAATAATCAAAAAAGTGATTGCGATAATACTTTTTAAGTAAAAGATTTTCATTCCACTAATAGTAATTCTGACCTTCTTCTAGCACCCTTGCTATCAACAAACGAAACTCACATTTCATAATCAACTTCTGGGTCTCGCAACATCGCGTATACTGCGCTGGATAACTGCACTGCCCACGGTATGTTGGCACTTTCTGTCACAGTAATCAATGCTTCACATCGTAAATTAGGATTGGATATACATCCCACTATAGTTAAACATCGTTCATACCATAAATCAGTATTTGAAATTACATCTTTAGAAATCACTGCCATTTTCTGTAAGTTTCATATATATTTCTCAACAAAAAAAAAACAATAGCAAATAGGTTCTAGAATCCATATTTTTATGTAGAAAGAACTTCTAATATATCTTGCACAATAGAAAACATTGTTTTCACTGGATCAATTTTCACTCAGAAGAGTTTAAGCTTCTATATCATTCAATTCCAGCAGTAAGGTTTTAATATATGAACAAGAGCACAGAAATCGTCTAGAAATGTAATGAAATAACACTACGAAATAAAAAAAAAATCACTCAATAACGCATTGATTCAATTGAAAAAATCATCAGATGTTTTTAGCCATTAGATTTATCTATGGAAACACTCACTGATATGTAGTTGAAAAACGTTTGATCGTAATCCATCTTGAACTCGTCCATATAAGGCTTGACATATTTATCAATATTATACCTGACTTGCTCCATATTTGTTCCTTCCAACATCATGTAGCAAATTGTTTCCACAGTTTGGTTCTTCAAAATTATGAATTGTCATTAAAATGAGAAAAAAAGAATTGTGAAGCAGAAAAATGTGAAGTAAAGGTAGCAGTAAACTGTATTACAAGAAAGCAGAGCAGAAGATTAGATATGCAGCCAGTTTTGTGCATTTTACACAAACTTATTTTAGTATTCTCTAAAGACAAGAGAACTAATACTGAAAGGAAAAGATGAATCGAATCTTCCTTTGCAAAAGCATCTTGGTATTACAACCACTCATCTGTTATTATATTCAGTTTATCGTATAATTAATTACCTGATATGAATCATAACTCATTGGAAAGTCATAAACATTCTTCAATTTTTTGATAAAACGCAAACTTCGTACATAAGTATTCAGTTCTCCCATCACATCCATTGGATCTTCAGAGTAGCATTTCATTAAAGAGAATATGTGCGCGACTTCTGCCTAAAATATGTATATTAAAGAATTCTCTTCATAACACTTGATCTGAAATCGGTTAAGGAAGTGATTATAACATTTGTAAATGATCTTTTCGCAAGCTTCATAATGTGAACTGCGATTTATGCCGTAGTGAACATAAAAAAGTCAATAATTTACTAGAATAAATTACCTGACGATAAGGAGTTACAGATGACTTGAGAAAATTCTGAATAATTCGTTCCATTGTTGTTGCAATCATGAGGGAATTTTCTGGAAATTCTGCCGGATCTTTAACTTCCATCTCGCGTGCGAGGTCAAGTAAAAATGAATTGACAAGTGAGCAGCAAGCAATAGCATCCGAAACCATTACAGTAGGAATAATGTCTTCCAAAAGATGTAAGGCTTCCATGACATCACATTTCATATCTAAATAATACCTATAATTAATGTGACTATTTAGAAAATGACTTTTAATTAAAATTCCGCACTCTGTATAGATTTTAAATAACATGATTATTATGTGATTAGATAAACTTTAACCTTGGTGCTAAATATCAACTGAATAATAAAATCTGAGAGGGATAAACTTCTACGCATTTAAATTCCTAATCACATCAAGTTTGAAATAACAATTACCATAAATAATAGAATGAATGTCTTCCAATAACCGTTCCAAGTTCTCTTTTTTTCTGACCCAATTTTTCAGTGTTTTTTGATAACGGCACCACAGTAAGCGTGCTTCCCAAAAATGTCCATTTTTGTAAAAATGTTCGAAAATATGTTCATAGGAGCAAATATTAAGAAACTCGGACAACAAATGGTCAGTAGAAAATGAATTGAAGCGCTTTTTCTGCAAAATGATTTTTTTTTCAACCATCAAATCCATAGATTATTTTTGATGATATACAAGTAAGTTCTCGTCGATATAATCAAAAAGCATACCCAAGGATAAATTATTTCGCGATATGACTGATAATTATAGCGCAGGGATGCCAATTTTTCTTTAGTCTCGTCATCTAAAAGATGGAAGACAATTATTTGTTTGAAACATTCCGATTATGCAAACGATTAGCTTCATCGTAGATGAAGTCAAAAAATTCACCCGTTATCTGTAGATCTGCAACAAACTCTAATATTTTCTTGACCCATAAGTGATTTGAGCTGTGAATTATTGCTGCAATGCACATTTCAGCCACCTTAAAAGATGATTACTAAAATAACTTTTACGTGTTTTATCGATCTTGGTATATATATATCGGAAGCGATTGTACTATTCTCACAAAACCAAAATTTTCGACAAAAATTACAATTTTAGATAACTTACCCAATTTTGATCAGAAACGCGTGACATCCATTCTAAAAATTCGTCGAATTCAGCTTTTTCTATAGGAACACGGTTTACTATGAGAGTATCCACGAAATATCGAATACGCGCCACATAAATTTTCTGAAATATTCCAAATCTCGAAAAATACAGAATCATTCTTCAACTAATCACAAATACACTGAGGCACAAACCTCCAAGTTGAAGCTAAATTTTCGAGCGAATTCTAAAGCTTCATTCCACTGTTGCCGATCTAGTAAATGTTCTACGAACATTTTTGGATGAGATTCACAAATAGAATGAACATTGATTACATTTAAATCGCTAAAACTATATGAAGTCAGAAAAATTAAGCGTATTCAATTGGCATTTAATATTTTAGATGAGAGTCATGTTACAGCTTGTTATTTTTTTAAGTGGATAATCTTTACGAAATTACATGCAAAAATTATTGCTTAAATTTCTTCATTTGATATAATCGACAAAATCCAGAATATTTTGATCCCATTTAATCCAGCATGATTATTTCAAATCAATCAAATCATTAACTAAAAAGCAAAAAAAAAACCTATGTTTTTCGGCAGCAATGTGCATAAAAAGTATCATTTTTGTCTCACGCGTAAGAGTGCTCAGCAAAAATGTTCCTTCGGTCACAAGTACCGAATAAAGTACTTCACCTCCTAGATTACGAATTTCGAGCTAAAAGGGCTAATGAATTAGTTCTCTATTAGCAACAAACAACACTTCTTTGACAATTGCACAATACTCACTTGACATATTCCTGTAATCTTAGCATATATAAGGACTAGTTGAGAGTGCTCGCTTATTTTACCACCTGCATCTGAATTCATATCGAAAAAAAGGAAATCTTTGGCCATTTCATCTGTTTTCAAAAGAACGATTGATGAAACTAGCATAGTTGTTTGAGTATCCCAAATTAGTAATCGCCCATCCATTGTCAAGATTACAATAAACAGAAAAACAACTCTAGAATCGAGATGGTGTCGAACGAATCTAATTTGCGCAATACAACAGGAATCTGAAAGAATACTTTACGATGGTTGCAATTTGAGTATGGCTCACAATTAAGAAAAAATTTAAGCAAAAACAAAAACACCTCATTAGACGATATATGTATATAAATAAATAAATAAATAAATAAATAAATAAATAAATAAATA